ATAGAACATTCAATTTTTAAACATGGAAACACACCAAAGGGATGAACATCAAAACATTCCTAGGTTTTCATTCTGAATAGGATTTGGGGTATTTTGTTGCCCAATACCTATTCATAAAATGAAGTCCTTTTTTTTTTTTTTTTTTTGGGGGGGTCTTTTTGAGACAGGTTTTCGCTCTGCAGTTCAGGCTGACCTTGAGCTCATTCTGTAGCCCAGGCTGGCCTCAAACTTGCAACAATCCTCCTGCCTTAGCCTCCCAAGTGCTGGGATTACAGGCATGCACCATCACGCTCGGCAAAATGAAGTCCTTTTATAACCAAAATTTATGTATACACACATACACTCACACACTTGGATAAAGATATTTCTTGTCTTTTAAGAATTCTTAGAGTCGTCCTAATATTACTCCTTTCTTCTTCCCAGAAATTCTCTTATAAATCAATTAGTCACCTGCAGATTCCAAGTAAAATGAAGTTGAAAAATCAAAGGAGCAGGTATTTTGGGCAAGAAGGCTGTACTTGCTACTTTGGGACTCTAAAAGCCTTGGGTTATTGGGTCTCAGTTACTTCTCTCCACCTAGTCTAGTGACCAAGTATCGCTCTTAGAGCTCAGACCTTTACCCATTTGAATAAAAATACAGCATGGAAGTGACACTGTGGTAGACAGGATGTTAAAGATAATCTCAAGGGTCCTATCCCCGACCCATCTGACCAAATACTAATCTAGGTATTACTCTGAAGAGATTTTGCAGATGTACTACAAGTCCTATGTCAGCAGACTTTAAAGCATAGAGGTTGTCCCTTCAAATAGAAAGCTCTTTCTCTGGCTCCTGGAAGAAGTCTGACTGAGGTATGAGAAGCAAGGGCCGTGGCACTGCTGGGGGAGGGCAGCCTCTGCGAGCAAAAGCAGCTCTGGGCAGCTGCCAGGAAGAACTCAGGACCTCAGCCCTACAAAGCAATGATCTCAGTCTACCTACAGCCCACATGAGCTAGGAAGCAATTCCTTCCCAGCCTCTTGATAAGAGCACTGCCAAACAACACCTTGATTTGGCCTTATGATACCCTCAGCAAAGAACCCAGGCAGACCTGTTCGGACTTCTACCGCACAAGACTAGGAGATTAATAAATGTATTCTATTTTCAGCCACATGGTTACTAATTTGTTACACAACAACAGAAAACTACTTCAGGTATTTTGTACTTATTTTTTTAAAGCCCCCGCCCACATCTTGGTAAAAGCACTAATACGAAAATTCTTCTACCTTCCTGTTCCTTCCAAATAAGCACTGTTAATGATTTGTCCTTTGCTTTTTCTACAAATTCCCCATGAATATGCATGATACACTTGCATTTATGCATGCATACACATACATGAATTTACAACATGCATTTTTTTTCCTGAACTACTTATTTTGGGCATCTTTCCAATACTACCATATTCGCTGTCACAACCAGGTGGTACTAGTTGTACCTCTGAATCATTTTTTACTTAACTAGTTCTCCAGTGATGAACAGGGTCAGTAGAACACTGGTAACAACTCACCCCTCTATTTCTGGTTACAGGCAACCCTACACTTATGACTTCATTTATTATCCAAGTATATCACCCTGATAAATTCTTTTATATGGATTTTCTGGGCCACAAGGTAAATGCATTTGAAGTTTCAGCAAACACTGCAAACTATAGCTGAAATGGTTGTACTGATTTATATCACATGAAAGGGACTGCTTCCCCACAGCTTTGCTATTACTGGATTTTATAAATTTGAGAAAAAAAAAATTGTATACTAAGTAAATGACACTATAGTGTCCCATCAACTTGGTTCATATTTATCTTACAACTGCAGTGAAATATTGTTCCATGTTGTTGTTGGCTGCTGTTTTCTACAATACACTACTTACACCTTCAGCCCATCTTCTTCTTGGTCCATTCTCCTCTTTGTACACTAAGGCAAGTTATGGACACAGTTTTGGGCACGCAGAAGTTTCCCACACTTCCTTAAAAATTTGCTATTGACACAGGAATTTCATTTGAAGGAGAGATACACCAGGCTCTTCCTTTAGGGTTTCTGAATCATATTTTATACTTAGAATCTTCCACAAACTAGAAGTCCATGCTTTTTCTTCTTTTTTTTTCTTTAATGGGCCTATCCTGTTTGCTGTTCTTTCAGGAATCCCTGACTCCTCACAAACACTGTTTTGCGTGGGAAGGCACACACAGGACACTAGGCCAATATCTGCGCTTCCTCAGCACTCCTGACACACCCATACCATTGCTAAGGTGCAGGTCTCTACTGCAACATCTGTCTGGTGCAGGTTCTGGTATCAGTGAGGCTGGCTGGGCTTACATACTCCCACCCGAGGAAGAAGAGAAAGTGGATGTCTACCTTTTAGGCAAGTAAGTACTAGGGGATGGTAGCTTTTCTTTCTCTTGCTTTACATGGACATCTGAGAATCCTTACCTGGCAGTCTGTGTACTAAACACAGGATAGAGAAGGTGGTGACAAATATGGAGGTGAAAGGCACCAGGGTGGGCAGGACACACTGCATATTATCAAGACACAAGGACTGACATTTTTCCTTACATTTTCTCCTTCTTACACAGAAACAGGAGGCTACTCAACTGATAATGCCACTTCTTATAAAAAGTGTGACAGATTCCCATTGCCTCTGAGTGAACGAGAACCTACTGGCTCTGCAGAATAAAGAAAAGTACTCTGGAGCCCAAACAACAGGCTCCTCTGCCTCCTCCAATGGCTAAGTTTTCAAATGAATGCTGAAGGGAAAAGAATTCAAACTCAAATTATACAAGGAAGAGAAAAATAATTAAAAGGACCATTATAATCTTAACATTACTCCTTTCTCAATATTAGAACTAAAGAAAATCACAGCAGTAAAAGGCAAATCAATGGGCACATAAGGATGATGAAATTACTACAAAGAAGAGTAAGCAAACAGATCTTAAATCACTATTGATCTATGTATACTAAACAGAATTCATCATTCACTTATCACCTAGTAATACTGCCAGGCACTGCTTGCAGAGGAGAAATGCAAAAGCTTAAATAACATAAATAATTGCAGTCCTCAAGTCAGGTATTTAGCATTGATTGACCCGCTATAGGCCTTAGAATTATGACAGTCATGTAATATCAACCTCAAAATTATGAATGCTCATAATATAAATAACGTGTACTCATCATACAACTTTGGAAATGTAATATTACCAACTGTTTACCCCTCTTCAATAATATCTCCCACACTTCCCAGAAGTAGCTATCTAAAACTGGTTTTTAAAATTACCACGTTTTGCTATTCTTAAAATAAACATATGAAGAATAACCAAAGACTATAGAAAATGTTTACATTTTTTAAAAACTTATTATACTACAAGGCACATTGCCATCAATCCCCACCAAAATCCTCCCCCTCATGTCAAATACACTTATCCCATCATTTTTGCCGCTTTCTGAAGCAGTTCATTTACCTTGCATGGTCATTTTGACTTTGAGGAAGAGTCAGAAGTCTCTCAGTGTTAGACCCAGTAGATATGGTAGACAAGGACACACTGTGATGTTTTTAATTGATAAAAATGGCCTTAAATGCTTTGAATGGATTCAGAACATTGAAGCTGCCATGATGGTACAATTAAGGCTGCTCACATAAAGAAGGCTTCCAGAACTGCTTTCAAAAGTGGCAAAGAGGATAAGATGTATTCAAAGCAAGGGAAAATATTCTGAGAGGTATTAATGTAGATGTGTGCTTTACGGTAATAAATTTTTAAAATTTATTCACCATATATTTTGATCACATCTCATACATACTTATATAATAGATATGTAGAACATATGTATACATGTGATACAACAAAATAGTCTATGTTCCATGATGTTAACTTTATATGAATGGTTTGTACTCATGTATGTGCAGAGTTCATTCATTTGTTTTATATGTACAGCTATGTCACAGGTCATTTATTGATGCAACGTGTTGAAATTTACGTTGTTTTCAAGTGTTTGGCTATTACGGACATGATACCATATTGGTCTGAGCATGTCCTCATATGTGTAAGAGCTTCTCTAAAATTCTACTGGGAAAAGCATTTGTGAATATCAGTGATCATTTTATACTATCGTAATTTTATAAATTTATCTTTGTTTTTATTGTGCTACCTTTTATTACTACGGCAAAAATAAAATGTGATTTCTAAGGAATGACTGCCTCTCTCTCCCTTCTCCTCTCAGTCATAACAGACAACTGCCGCCCACCACTGGAGAGAGTCCTGGAGCTTAAGGCCTGCCTTCTCAGGCACAGAGACAGCCCAACATTTAAACATGAAATCAAGGTCATGTGAGAGCCCGTCACGGCAAACTAGAGCTCTATAAGTAGGTCCACTTCCTCCTTTCAACCTTCCGTGCTTCACCATCCTAAGACAACTTCCTAAAACTCGGACCCTCCTCCAAGTCCCAAAAGACGTTTAAAGTTAAAACTCCTTCCACTCACTGAAGTTCACCTGCTTTTCTTTCCGTTTACCTAATACAACCAACTATACACTTCCCAAACTCTAGCCACACTGGGAATTCTTTCTTTCACCCCATTTATACCATCAAAATCTTGCCTATCTTTCAAAATCTTGGGCAAGTAGCTCCTTCAAACTCTTCCTGGCTTTCCTGACTGGAATTAACCTTCTCATTCTCTTCACAGTAGTTACTGTACCTTAATATAACAGAGAAGTTCAATTTTAGGGAGAAACATACTAAATACTTCTCAACACTTATTCTTATCACGAGCAATCAGTCTGCATTTCCCAAACATATTCCTAACATGGAAACATGAATTACATCATCGAGAAATTTAGAAAAAGAGAAATCAAAAATTGAAACAGGATTCCATATAAAATAAATGGAAAGCAGACGCAAAGACACACCTAAATCTCAACGGGTCAACTTATTTAAAAAACTAAACAAAAAGAAATAAGACTCAAGAAAGGGAAGTCAGTTACCTGCATGAGCAGAAAGAGGCGAGTGCGGTCTGGGCAGTGCTGGGGACTGTCCATTGCCTATCAAGCTTTTCCGGTTGCTTGTTCGGCAACTGTTAAAAAGAAAGAAACACAGTTTTAAAAGGAGACTCTCTTATCAATGATATTCACGTATATCCAAAGTAGGCATAGTCTAGGTTAAACAACCTACAAGATTTACTCACGCTACTGCCAATGTTATTGCAAATTATTATGTAGGCATGAACATCTGAGAGGTGGCCATGTTTTGAATATTAGAAACTATAATGCAGTGATGGGGAGCCTATGGCACGCATACTGTTTTTCTGTTAAGACAAAAGATGTTGATGTATAAGTTGATTTTTCTAAACAAACCCCAGTATTCAGGGTTAACTGCGGTGTTGGCACTTGGTAATAAGTAAGTGGGTTTTGGTTTGCAGTTTGGGCCCTCATTGCTAAAAGTTTCACCATCACTGCTATAATGTATTCATATAGCATACCACCATCAATATTCCTCATCACCAGGGAAGCTGTAATCAAATGCCTTCTTTCAGCTCGTGTCGGCAAATATGTGACATGCCATACATACAAGTGATAAATTAAGGATTCAAATCAGCAAACCACAGGTAGCATCTTTGTTGACATGAAATTTCTAATAGAAAATTACATGCAATGAAGCTCACTGACATTAATCTTACAATGATGCACTAATTAAAAATCTAATTATTCAGACAAATTTCATATCTGTGCCTTTTGTCAATCGAACAGCCAATGCCTAAGAAAAATGTGCTTCACCACTCACTCATTTTTCATCTTGTATACAACATTCAAACTCCTTATTAAGGTACACATTTTGGAATCATAAAAACAGATTCCAGTGTATTAAAATAATAGTGATGGGCCTTTCTTACAAGCTTGCTAGCTAGTGATTGTCTCTCAAATACCCAGTAAGTGAAAATATATTACTATATATCAGAAGTTAACTATTTTTTCCTGTTTCTGCTAGTAGGAAATTATAAAATAGTTAACTGAGTTCAGAGTAACTTTCACAAGCTTAAAAAAAATCAGGAAAATACACAACTCATTGATGGTAAAGTAGATACTATCTCACATTCACTCGTTTTCCTCCAGTACATATTGGCACTTTATTCTCTATCACCACTACCATAGTTAGAAGAATGTGATAAAATCCAGCAATTTATCAACTTTATTCAGCTGACAGCATCCGGAGCACTGGGGCCCTACTCTCCTGTATGTTAGGGCCTCAGCCATCATTAAGAGTTCATCACCATGCTGCTTTCATCCAGAGCAGAGTGGAGTGGAGGTGAGAAAGGTATGGACATGTGATCCCTAAATTCAGTTTAAACTTCACAAATTTCAGTCTGTGTGAAATATTTGAAAGAAGGAATTTCTAAATATTCAAAAACTACATTTCAGTAGTTGCTGCTTAAATTATCATTTATCAACATTCCCATATTCACAATTGCTTAGGATCAGGCTACGTCATTTTATTTTCCTTAAGGCAGCAACCAACATCCCCTATCATTATCTGTGAGTTTAATTAAGATCAGGTTTACTCTGCCTTGAAAAAGGTGTTGAATGAGAATAGACTCTTGATACTTAATTATGAAGGTGCATTGTGATATTACCAACTCATCCATCACAAACTGTGTTGGACCTATTAAATTCATAATCATCAAATCAGAGAGTCTGATTATTTTGAAAGATACTGTACAATGCATTTACTTTTAATTCAAGTTAAAGTCTCCATCTCAGCAAAGGAATATTAAATATATTAACTTACTGATGTTAATAAATTATAAATGACAGATTTATATGCAGACAATAAATGTCAGATTATAAATGACAAATTTATAATCTCAGCAAACTCATTTGCAGAAGTTAACTGAAATTTAGTTTAATTATTACAAAAATGTCTACTTGTATTTTTATACTAGTGTTTGATCTGTACAATTTAAATATGTTGAAAAAATCTATAGTGTTTATACAAAAATAAAATGAATGAGAAATGTGTATCAATACAATATAATCGATAGCCACTGATGCTGGTGATATATCCTTACTTAAAATTAGGAAATGTTTCTGAAAGAAAACCTTAGAAAAACTGAGTTTTCCTAAGTGCCAAGTGGAATGACTAGTACCCTACTATAACAAACATAATGGTCAACAGGTCAGATTAAAAATGAAGAAAATCACAAACAAAAACCCTCACAAGGGCTGGGGATATAGTTCAGGGACACAAGCGCCTGCCTGGCAAGTGAAAGGTCCTGAGTTTGATTCCTAGTACCCACAAAAAAAAAAACCAAAACCCTCACAATTATATCAGTTAAAGTATAATTTTAAAAAAAAGGTGAAAAAAAGTGATTCCCAAAAAAACTAAACTTGGCAGTAGGGTCTGGGTTCATTGCCCAATAATATAAAATAAAACAAAAACAAAATTGAAATGAATTTTTAAATAACGGGAGGCATAGTTCACTGAATAACGCCATGAACAATCAAAGCATACTGTATAACTGAGACTCTTCCATAACCTCTTTATCAGTCTTCTACACAAAACAACAAAGGCATTATAACAGACTTGGAACTTTATGGAATCAACAAGGGAGGCTTTCAAACATGAAATACCCAACATGGCAAAACCACAGTTCATAAAACAAAGGCCAAGGCAGATTTCCATGTGTATGCAAAACAAATCTTCATATTTAAGAAGTAGGGTACCGGCATCACAAATGAATGTGTCTCTAACATTCTCAAGGAATAAGCAATGTTTTACACTACCACATTTAATCCTGAAATCTGTAGATCTTGACACATATCAATACTTTTCAAATCCTGGGACCTTCCTGAGATGTTTTGTGGATAACCTTTCCAAGGTGAGAGAGGGGATGGCCATCCTATCTCAATACCACCTGCTCCCAGTACCTCTGAGAGTCATCGAATCTTATTGCTCTTGGTGGCGTCTTCCCAATAAATTAATTAAATCTACACTGAATCCCACAGGAAGGAAGTTCCAAGTTGTAGTTCTAAGAACTACACTGCCCAGCTTAGTAACAACAGCACTGAGGTAAAATGCTGTTCGGGCCTCTGTCATCATTATTTATTTTTCCATGTATCCCACACTTTTCTGTCCATGACAGGAAATGCTTATGGCATCCAAGTGTGAACATGATGCCCCAGGTGTTCATGACCACACCTACTCATTCAATCCACACAGTGATAAAATCACTTGGGCAAAATAAAGCTTCCTTCCCTTCACCAGGGTGACTCAGTCCATTCTGGCTTGTTTTTCTCAGGTAAAGCCACCAAGGGAAAAGCAGGGGATGCCCCACTAGTAGTGATGTCCCACAACACTACTATTTCACTAGCAGAAATCTCTCATCATTCATCCTCATCCTGCGCTGGACCTTCTAAAACATTCTAGTGTTCATTATTAGGGACACCAGTATATGACTATGAAAGTAAAACTGAAGAACAGTTATGAATCCAACTTTCAGCTCTTCTGCCCTGAAAAGAAAACCTCCTCATCCTTCAGGAAGACACAGAACCCCTTCACCCTGCCCAGACATCAGGCTGACAGTCAAACTAATATCTACTTCCCACGAAGTCCCTCTGCCTCTCAGTTCTCCCATTGAAGCAACATGATAAAGTTACTTTTCCTGTGGGCAACATGCTCAGTTTGATCTCTCAACCTGGAGAGGGACTATCAGCGTTCTGGTAACACAATGGCACAGAAAGATCCTTTACTTCCAAGGTCAGAACTTGGTCTGAAAAGCCAGCCACACACAACCTGAGACAAAGGAGAAGTTACACAATGGATTAGGACAGGGGCTGATAATGACAAGAAATCACTTCTCATTACCTTATTCATTTGGTTCCACCCAGGGGACAGCTATGAGGTACAGAAAGCAGGCTCTTGCATACACAGGGAACGAGAAGGGCACCCTGCCCACTGTGGCCTGGGGATCTGGGAAGAATGGCTGGGTAGGAGATGATGACAGCACTGTTTTATGAGTAGGACCGGCCAGCCCCTGATGAGCACTGTGTGTAAGGGTGTCGTAGTTGGGCTGCCACTCCATGGCGATGCCTCCCACAGTGCTCTGGGGCCACTGCAAGGAAGTGCTGTGTTTGTCTGCATGGGCCTTGCTGAAGCAGGTGAAAGAAAGGTTGAATAGGGCCAGGTGATCACCAATGCAGTTCCACAAGGAGTTTCTCAGTCTTAATCACTGATAACAGGCCCTCCATCTGCTTAGAAGATAAAGAGATGGGCCATGGGTTTCATCATGTAAGTCAGGCCTGACCCAGTAGGAGAACAAGGAGAATGTGGGCTCCTAAGCTGACCATATTCCAGAAGGGTAGGCTTGTATTTTTGGCCCCAAGCACCCACATTCCATTTCTGCCTGAAATGTGTTTAGGCTCAAGGCTCCATAAAAAGGCTTGAGGGCACAGGGATGCTCTACAAATGTTTGACACCTGCATTTGTCACATACCACCCGGCACCAAACCTGTAAGCCACCCCGCCTAGGTCTTTAAATATCGTGAGGCCCAGTGTGCTGTAGCCTTTTGCAATTGTTCTCTTGCAGTAGCTTTTAATTTAATTGTAAATTACATTTGCCTTGAGACATGAATTCTGAGGATGTCTGGCCATAGCAAGCCAAGTGAGCAGAGGGAACCCCAAGGACCGTCATGTTGACGTTCACTGCCGACTTGAAAGGTCAACACTCAGGGCAACGTATACGGAGTCACCACTGAGGGACGGTAACAATCCTGAATGCAGTAAGAGCCCCTGCAGTCCTCAGAAGCTAGATCACAATTTATCACTTCATCTCGATGAAACTTTTGATAAATGTGCACAGGAGACCCATTATAGGCCAAAACTTTACCACAGTGAACATCTGCTAACTATTTCCTAATACCACAATTGAATCTGAACATTTGAATATTGTTTAAACAGACAGTACAGCTGGAGGAACCTGCGCACAAACAGAAGACAAAAAATCATCAAGAATGTTGCTGAGTAAATGTTATAAACTAGGTAGGCTTCAGAGTCTATATCTTTCCAATGAAGGGTTGGGCC